ATTTTAGTCTTCATTCAGAAAATGATAACTTATGGTTTGACCTGTCTGTTTGTCTGTATGTTCCCTGTATCTTAGACATGCCTGTACTGACCACATTCAAACTTCACACATTTGAGTTTGGAGCTAACTTAATACTCATTTCTTTTTTGTGTTGTAGTTACGATGGTAAAATAAGTGATGCAGTAGACGTGATACAAAGTTTGCATGATAAATGCACGCAAGTTGTTGATGGTGCTATGACTCTGGAAGAAGCGTGTGGTGAGGTGTCCACTAGCAATCAATGCAGTGCTAATTTTACAAGTGAAAACAGTCCTGCTAAACATGTAATGGAGGTCTTTGAGGTTATATGGAGAGCTGTGAACTACTACACGTAAGTCACCTTGACATTGTATTTTTCTGTATTAATACAGAATACCCTTTATTTGATAGAAAGTGAAAATCGTAATATTTCGTGAACAGTCACAATAATTTTCAAGAATTGTTTTTATCTCACCTATGCAAAATTTCCTAGAATTGAAAAATAAACATTGTGAATACAAAAATTGTGTAGCAGCAATTTCACTGGTGTGTCCTAGGTCAATGACTTTTCATTAAATTTGTTTTTCACAAATACCATAAAAACCTAAATTTCTAACTGTAAAAATTAAACGTTTTGCAGTATTTGTCACTATTTGATTAAGTTCATGAAAAATACATTTATGATAAAAATATACGTCATGAATTGTTGAACATGTGCAGCATTATTTGTGTTAGTAGGCATTCATTTACCTAATATCCAAGCCTTTTTCCCAATGGCTGGCATGAATACACATTTTGACAGAGAGGCACTGTGCATGTTTTGTCAGCTTGTAAAACTGAATGTATAGGGTATATACATTGCTTTAATTGATGAATAGATAAATAAAAAAATAAGTCAACCACTGACTTGGGTTAGATCAATAGACCAGGGTTCTCCACAGAGCATTATAGAGCAGGGGGCCCTCTATGATTTTGAGTACAACAATGATTACAATGGAGATTATTGCCATATCATATTGTTATGTAAATTATCCATGGTGCTCTGCTATTTTCGTTGGGAAAATATTGTGCACATTCCGGCAAATACTGTGGGTACCATTCAGAGAAATCCTAATTTTGTAGCAGTGAACCTCAATCTCCATGATAAATGATCAAGAAAATGCTATTCCTGTTCATAACAGTAATATTTTTTTCTTTCAGTGCCCTCATTTTTGAAGCTTTGGAATACACACATCCTTTGTTCCCATCTGTTCATGCATCTGAGAAACCAACTGGAGCACAGGCTGTTATCTTACTTGCAACTTTATGCCGTCAGGTCCACATGCTATGCAATGTACTGTTAAAGTGAGTAATCAAATGTCATACATTTCTTCATGTGACAACTGTTTTAACCAATCAAGCATCAAAATAAACTTTTATCACCTCTTGCAAACATAATAATTTTAATAATGATTTTAAAACCAAAAATTGCATATTTTTTCACAAATTGTGATCAATTAATGGAAAATTATGTTTTTTTGTTCCAAAAAAAAACCAAAAAGTTAATTTAAAGAAAAATAAATATAATGAAGCTCAGACCAAATTCTGAATGAATTTTAACAAAAAGTATACTTTTATTTTTGTTTGTTTTCATTGGTTTCTATGGAGAAATTAGTTAATCATCTTTAAAAATTATGAAAAAAAAAACACATGTGTTTTCATTTAATATTGAGTTGGTTTTCAAGGTTATTATATTTCTATTATATAATGCATTGCACATCCTCGGTAAGGTACATGTACATGCTTGGGCTAAAATATATTTTCATCTTACAATACATGCTTACTCTTGTATATTCTAATTGCCCTCTGTCTGCAGATATCATCTTCAAATACTTACATGCACTCACATGATAATATTTGTGTTAGTATTATTATAAAGCCAAAAGAAAATTGCTTCTTGTTCTGGAAAAAATTGATAAGTGATGCGGTGATGAATTTTTTTTATTATTTAATATCACAAAAACAAGATATAATTTTAATGTTTAACATTAAATAATATTTTCAAATACATGCATTAATGGTTGATTTGGATTGACAAAGTATCCTTTAAAACATTCCATTTCAAACTAACATTTCCCCATGTTTGGTGCTCTTCATCAGTATGCAAAATTGCATTAAAAAATGTGAGGCTCTGGTTTCAAACTGATACATTTTATTTTCTTGCCTAACATTTTAATATAATTATTATGCAACCTTATTTCAGTAACATTGTGAATATAGAGATCCAGACACTGCTAAAGAGGAAAGACTTACTTGAACAAGTTTGTGAAGCAATATTTACTTTCATTCAGAATGTTCCTGTAAGTTCCACTGAATAACTACATTTTCTTATAACAACTGTTTTTTGCATCAACTGATGATTAATGACAACTTTATGCTTGTGTTGGGAAAAAGTGTGTGATTTTGAAATTCTACAAATGACTAACAGCATGTGTGCAAGCTGTATAGAATGTATCTTATGTGTTGAACAATGAGAATGATGTGACAGGATTGTTCATTCCATTAGCTTAAATACTAGTTTTATGATTGAATAAAAATTTTCCCTGTTACATGCCTAAGTTGATATTTACTGCAAACTGCAACACACCTGACATATCTATATGGGTATAAAATTTACTGATGTTGTGCAAGACAGTAAACTTCACTTTTAATAACACAACTGAATCTTTTTATCATCACAAGACTACTTTCTGAAATATTATAATTATAATACAAAATGACAATGAAAAGGTCAATCCTGTTAACTATTCAATTCACTCTTACTTTAAGGGTTTTGTGTCAATAATATATTGTTTGAAAGTCACTGATCTCATTAACTAATTGCCTGTTGACACCATTATATACAATTCATATTCATTGGCTATCTCTGGAGGTTTTCAGCAGGTGATGTGATAAGAACAACATTAATATATACTGCTGCAAAATTTCACAATTTTTCCAAAATTGAAAAATTTACAAAAATAAGCTTCTTGTGAGATTAAAGCAGTTTACATATTGCAATCAATATGTTTTAATCTTTTCACCACCAGTTAAGTTCCCTCTTTTCTTGACAAATTCACAAAATAGTCCTGTTTATAATGACAAAAATAGCAAAAATTACTAAAATTGTGTCTGTTTGCTCCAAAATTAGAGATCATTTTCAAAAATATTTAAGAATACAAGAAAAAAGTGCTACAAAATTTGAGCGAGAAAGTCTGGGGGTGAATAGGCTAAAAGATCTGTTTGTTTATTTTTCAGATTAATGGCATGAATTGTAAAATAACACCAGAGATGCTACAAGAGTTTATCATGTGCAGCAATAACAGACAGAGCTTGATAGTTGGACAGAAACAACTGAATTCTGTACTAGAACATCTCCAGAACTGCTATGTTAACATTTAATTTGGCAGAACTGCTTTGACAACCTTGCGTCATGTGTCAATCAAATAGTGCTATAGAACCAGTTGTACAGAAGGAGCTCCAGACATTATCTAACTTTATCCAGTAGATGGCAAGTTCCATTTTCTTATTAGTCATTGCCAATTACTTACACTACCCGTCACACCTCCCCAGGCACATTTTACAATCGCTGAGTTTATGTTCTGTTCTGTACAGAGGAGCAAAATGAAATGATTTCATAAGGTGGTTATACACATGATGCTTTATGTTGTTAGGCAACCAAGGGTTTTTTGCAACAAGAAAAATCACAATGAGGACTAGATCAGTGGGTGATAAAACCCACATTTGTCTGTGACAGTATTTGACTTCATCCAAATATTGTAAGTGGTTGGCAGTGACTTTGAAACAATGGAACTGGCTGAAGCAGTTCCTCTAATTCATTTGTGGTAAAAGAGGTAAAACAATCTGATTAATTATCATTGTACATGGCACAAATGAGTCTAGTCTTTATGCCAGATCAATTTTTGTGAGAATTGCTCAATGTTGAAATATAATTTTGTGAACCACTTCAGATCATCGATCAGAGAATCATGGGCAATTCCATGACTTGATGATACTAACACAAATATTGCAACCCTCCTGGATTCTGGCTTCATTCAATAATTGGCTGACCAGTCCGTCACTCAACCACTTGGAGTACGACTCATGTTCGATATGCAACCCATGCAATGTCTGTTTCATTTTTCCAACAGGCTTAAAAAGCCATTCCATTACCATATGGAATTACCATATCAAGCGTGTTTTCAATTTAAAACAAAAGACAAATCAAAAGTGCTCACAGCACAAACAGCAGAGATTAATGAGCACAGTGCCTTGACAATATAATGAGCATTCATACAGGTTTATAGTGTTTAAAATTGCAGTCTAATATCATTCTTGAGGTTTCATTGGGATACAATTATCTGAAATAAGTGATGGTTTGAATTATCCACTAATATCCTATGGTTTTCAGCACCTTCTAATGTTGGCGTGTTCTCAGTTTATCATTTGAGTGTTGGAATTTCATTTGCCAAATTTTTCATTCACAAATATTCACTTCTGTTTTGAATTAATGCAGCAAATCTGGGGATTCTTCAAATATTTCCCGCAATTCAAAAATGTTCATATCATTAAATATTTTGCATAATAGTCCCCAAATCCCAATAAAGTGTTGAGAATGATCTCAGTGATTAAAACTTATAAATGTTTGTGTTTGAATTGCTTTATACATGTACAGTCTCAGGATACAAGTAATTACTTAATTTAGTGAGTATTTACTGTTGGTTTCCGAAATGTTAGCACTTGAAAATATTATTTATATGCAAACTCGGTTTCTTGCACTCATATGAGAAACTCGTATGACTATCATAACCATATAAAACACTGTTGTGGCCAAATGAGTATATTTATATTATTATGACCACCTATATAGTCATGCTAGTTTGGTCTCTATGTACATTCAGGTTATTATGGCCACATATATACATTCAGCTGCAGATTATTGTGGCCAATATATATTAAGCATATGCAGGTTATCATGGCTACAGACATACCAGTTTATTATGTTCAATATATATTTTCACATGCTAGGTTATTATAGCAAATGTTTATGTACATGCAAGTTATTATGACTTCGTGTACTTGCATGTTATTATTGTCAATATATATGTACATGCAAGTTTTTATGATCACACGTACATACATTTCATAACTACAATTGTGCATTTAGCTTATTAAGGCCACATTTACATGCAGATTAATGTTTTAGAGCCAATATATGTATATTCAGGTTAATATTGGTGCATATGTACATTCTGTTTATTGCGAACAATGTACATGCAGGTTATAAATACATACATTCCCACATTTCGTCACATATGAGGACAATATTAGTATAATAACCTCCATATACAAATGTGGTAATAATAACCTGCATGATGTACACTCGTATAAACGATGGTAATAAATGTAATTTGCATGTATAAATGCGGTCATAACTTTCATGCATATGTACGTTTGCCATAATAACCTGTAATTACATAATTTGGTCATAATAATCCGCATATGCGTATTACTACACCCAAGCTGTCCCAAAGTAATCACACTTGCGCCATATATTTATCACACTTGTGTCACATGTTGGATAAAAAAAATTCAACAAAATGTTTCAAAACTGCTGCTAATAATATCAGTATGTATTGGCTTGCAATCATTGGATTTACTCCTATAATGTCTTGTATAATCATAAGTTTAATTCTAGTGTAACTGCTTATTCTAATCATGTAAAGAGTAATTAGAAGTTACATTGAGTTCTTATTTCATCAAATTATGTACAAGGAAAAATTTATTCAACATTGTAGAAAGTTTAATTAATGTAAACTCGCGTTCAATTACAGATTCACACTTCGAGTCAGAAAAATATTCAAAACCAACTACCACTTGCCAAACTATTTCATTCATAGTTGATATAATGTGTTTTAATAGTTTGCTGAGTTAATGTTAAGAGTCATTGACCAATTCCATAAAATTACATTCCAAGTTTGTTGACAAAAGATAACAAGTGTATGACGAGTTTCGTTCAAGAGTTTGTTTTCAAGAGTACTGCTTGCAATACACTTCCAAGTATTAGATACACCCACATTGGATGTCACATTGTATTAGTACTGATACTTGTTGTTGTACAGATAATAAAACACACTTGTGAAAACTAGTCAGTGATACAACCACTATTTGCACATATACTGTAAAATACTTTATTTTCGCTTGGAATTTATTTTCGCTAGAGGGATAATGCATTTTTTTCTATATTTTACATTTAAATAATCAAAAATCCGTGAAAATAAATTCTATACAAAACACCCAAAAAGTCTTTTCATCAAAAATAAAGTATTTTACAGTAGTGCAGTTAATTTTGGCAATATTGTGTTTGGCCACATCATTAAACATTTTCACTGCCATATTTAGCTTTCATATTTTTCATTAGATTGATCATTAGACAGACACAAATATGACTTTACGCATACGTGAGTATATCTATACTGGAAGCATTTATAAACTAGTTTGTAAAATAATATTCTATGTGTTAACTTATTTATTTTACTGTTGGAGCAATAATATTTGCCATTTACCGTTCCATTTTTTGAAATGTGTTCAAATGTTGATGTTCAGTATATAGTGTTACCGGAGGAAAATAAGAAAGCTTTACTTATTAATTTTGTAATCAACAAACCAATAGTTCTATATTTTGTTGGATTAGATTTAAAAAGTTTAAGAGTTCGTTATATAATAAAAGTCGTATGTACTTCATTATAGATGTAATGTTACTCTTTTTACATTATTCCACTTCACTGATTATATGGTATACTAGTATCTGATATGCTGTTTGGCGTTGCTTGTAAAGTCAGCCTCGCTCTGATATGTATTCTATTTGTGATTCATTAAAGGTAACACCTCTTGGCTCTTCATGAATGAATAAATTCATTCGCCCACAATACAATGCAATGCAAGCATTGCACAACTTTAAGGCCTATTTTGTAATGGCAATATTTAGCTGTTGAGAGTTCTTCTCATAGATAATAACTGCAGACTTATTAAGTATGTTTGTTTGACTATTATAACTATTGAAATGATACTCGATTCTCACATAATATGGAACAATTAGTTTTGGGTTCGCATCTATAAATAGGTGGCTAATTTAATTTGCATAATAATTTTAAATTTTCGCAAAACATTCACTACTCAAGGAATTTTATTTGTTATAAATGTTACCCTTGTTATATTGCTATAATTCAAGGTCACCTATTTCATGTCAGACTCCACAATCAGATAACCGAATGGCATTGTAGGTAAAGATTGATACTTTTAAATTTCCCTTAATATATAAAGTTGTTGTTATATCTAGTACATGATTATCTTCATATACATTGGTTCTATACTGTGTAGTATGTGGAGTAATTTTTATCAAATAATTAAGTAAGAATGCTTGATAAATGAAAAGTCAATCCAAGACGATCGTTTTTCTAAGTAGTCACACATCAATATCAATGTTCCAGTAATTCATTGAAATTTCTACCAATATTATTGTTATTGATTTTCAACAATTCGCAAGATTCAGTTAGTTTAAGAATCAAAAACTTATAAAACTATAAGGGCTTAATTCTCGTGTTCTCAAACGTTATACCAAGCAAAGACAAACACAGAGATGGAATCGTGTCAACTTCTCGTCTCAGCGCCACGTGGAGAGCTCACCTCTCAGAGAACACACCAAGACTAGCTTTATTCACTTCTCAAAACCTTAACCTATCACATGGAGGTTCAAGATCTTGAGGCGTGGCCTCCACATATTCCACTCGCATGTAGTCAATCACACGAAATACTTAACACATCATATATACTTGATTACTTGATTAATTGTTGAATCCAGATTAAATTTCTAACACAGGCTTGTTAGTTTCTGTTCAGATCAAGTCAGATAATTTGACGTCTGTGCATGCATATATCTGTTCTTCAGATCGACCGTGCTCACATATATCACACATCTTGGGATACATATGCACATGCATTTGTTTTGTGATCCCTTGAACAAATGGCGGCAGACATTTTAGTGCTGGTAATACAGTGGACATTATTGGACTTTGATTGCACTTTATTTTGCTTTTTGGATTAACAATGACTGAATGGCGGTCATATTGTTTAAAGTGAGAGGGTTGTCACCTGCACACACGCTGGAATTGAGTCCCAAGTTAGGTTCATGGGTAGATGTTTGTTTGTAAACAATGACACGCTATGGCCATCTGACGCATGCGCAGGTGACGTCTCCCCTGCTTTAAATAAACGCAATTTCACAGCCATTTCTCTGTAATATCTTACCCAATCACAAACTTCACCAACTACATAGTATCAGGCTTATGCACATGCATTTGTTTCACAATCCCAATTGAAGATGGACAATCCCATCATCAGTGGCCAAATTCAGTTATTTGAAGAATCACAAAGTGCCAAAAACATGTTGTCCCTAATTTTACACAACATGCCTAATGTCTTATAATCGTCTGATATGTTCAGTTGAAACTCTTTCAAATGAGAACAGTTCACTTGGGGATTACATTTCAGCTCTTCTTCCAGCACCAACTGTT